TTTCTTTTCTCAAGCATTATATTTTTCAGCTGTACTTTTTTTTTTTGATGTTGAACTGATAGCTGATAGCTATTTCTTTTTTGTTAATTAGTTTGATTCTAATCGTTCTCATTACTTTTACTTCTGAATATAGACTTTCAGATATGACTTCAATATTTGTTCAAAAATATCATACTGCCTTGTTTGTTTCAAAGTTCTACATTCTAGAAATCATTCGATACATACATGTATGTAAGGCTATTAACTACTTCAGTAACTACTGAAATAATGATAACTTTACCTCACGTGATGGAAACTGTCCTGACTCAAAGTAAGAATGTGGTATATTAAATAAAGAAATAAAGGCAATTCCTTAGGAATGCAAATTGATAGTGATGTTAATTATAACATAAAGTTGTGGTTTAATTAACATTTTGTCCCGTATGTTTCTTAGCAATATAATATTTCTTCTTTATATCTGTCATTATAACTTGGTATTCATATAATATACACAGGAAAACAAAATGCTTGAAATTTATTCTTTGCTTTCACCAAGGAGTGGTAAATTATACTTAGTTGTCTTTAGTCTGTGAGTTACTTCTTCAGCTGAGAAACTACAGTATGAAGGTTTATCTTGTTTTTGTAAAGTTCTGCTGGATTGAGTGCATTGTTCATACCAGTCTATGAAAGAAATTAAGTGGAAGTTACTCTTTTGTTATAACAGGAATTGTATGAAGTCCTAGAAGAGGTGAACGGCTTCTAATCATTTGTACTTTTATATTAAAAATCATTAGTCCCATAATACATTTGTTGCCATAACATATTGCTTCACTTTCCACATTCTTCAAGTGTGTATAGGCTCTTCAGTAGTGAGTAGAGAACAAACAGGGATATGGGACAGTGAATGCTAAATGGTAAGAGGTGAACAAATTATTTCAAGCACCTGACTGTCAGGTGGGTATCAGAGAGTTAGAGCCATGGTCCAGAACACAGTTATTAATGATCTGCTTTTGTTCCTGTTCACCCCAAGCTGTGAGATGATCTGGAAATGTGACAGAGTGGTAGCTATAAGCTTTAGACTTTTTGAATTGACTCCTCTAATTCCTACACTCACTCTCTTTTTTGTGACATTTCTAATCCATTCTTTATCAGAGGGGAGGAAAAGAAAAAAAAAAAAAAAAAAAAAAGAGAGAGAGAGACAAAAATCTGGGTCCTTGAAGCTGTCAAAAATTTCATATAATTTTCAAAAAGTCATTTCTGAAATCAGCAACAAATTGACCATGAGCCAGCAATGGGCCAAGAAGACCAAGGAGGCCAAATGGTATCCTGGGATATCTTAGGAAGAATATTGCCAGCAGGCTGAGGGAGATATTCTTCCCCCTCTACTCAGTCCTAGTGAGGCCTTACTTAGAGTGCTGTATCCAGTTCTGGACTCCGCAGTACAAGAAAGAATTGGAACTCCTGGAACAAGTCCAGCAAAAGGCTAGTAAAATAGTTAAGGGACTAGAGAATCTCTCATATGGAAAGCCTGTTCAACCTGGAGAAAAGAAGGGTCACAGGGGATTTGATCAATGTGCATAACTATCTGAAGGGAGGGTGTCAAGATTATGAGGCCAGACTCTACTCAGTGGCACCCTGGGTAATGGGCACAAACTACACCACAGGAACTTCTGTCTGATCTTGAGGAAAAAATTCCTTACTGAGGGTAATGGAGAACTGGAACAGGTTACCCAGAAAGCTGGTGGACTCTATGGAGATATTCAAAAGCTGTCTGAGCGCAATTTTGGGTAATGTGCTGTAGGGAACCCTGTTTGAGCAGAGAGGTTGAACTAGATGCTCTCCACAGGTTTCTTCCAAGCTCAACTATTTTGTTCTGTGATTTGACCTTGTCTTCTTCAGAGCATTTCTGTAATCCATTTGATTTTACCTATTTCAAACTTAGTAGCAAATTGTAAATACATGAACAATACTTCAATAAAGCTGTTGCTCTAGATTTTGTTATGAATAAACAGATAAAGATTTTGTTATGTGATTTTTTTTAATTTTTTTTTTTTATTTTTTTTTCTGGAAGATTCGTTTGACTCTGTCCAGTTCTGAGAGGTCAAATATCAACAGAAACCAATAGTAATGCTGATAGGTTCTCTTCACTTGAAAATGTCAGCAAGGAGGCCAGAGAACTAATGTAATGAACTATGTTTTCACCTTTAATTTTTATTTCTAAATTAAGGTTGGAATATTTTGATAATGCTAGTCTGGAAAGTTTCCTTTGCTATTGCCTATATTAAACTGGAATAACTTGAATGGCAGGTCTGGCTCATAAAATATAGGCCTTTCCAGAGGTGTGACAATAAGCTTTATTTCAAAGCAAATCTCAGAACAGAAACACAGCTATGAACAGCAAGACCTAACAGCAACAGTATTTCCTCATTTTTCCTCTGTTCAATGCAATTGCTCTTATCCTAGCCCCGACCAATAGCTGGCACATGAACGCCCCAGCCAGGAAAGGCATAAAACCACCTTTTGGCTTTATCTCATGAGCAGTAATGTTTGGTAAATAGGAAACAAAGAAAGAAAGAAACAAACAACAACAACAACAAGCACTACAGCTACAAATCGTTTTGGAAGAAAAACAACCTTCTGTGCTCTTTGGTTACACCTGCATCCTGCACATTATAAATCTTTGACAGACATGTGACCATCTTCACACATCTATCAGTCTTAGAGCTAATTGCAGAATTTCAAATCAAAAGCTACCAATCTGCCATCTTTCACAAGTACTTATCTCTCACAGAAACTAAATTTGTATGACACAATCTCTCTTGAATTCCTAAAATCAGCTAATCTATAAGTAATACAGACAGAAGGCACAAAACACAGTTTATACCCTTTTATCCACCTGCTATCAAGTCAATGCACGTCTGTTATCTAACCTAAATTGTTGGCAGCAAAGTTAGAATGAGCTTTCTCACAGTGATTAGATGCCTTTGCTGGCTCTGACTCTAGTAGCATATGCTAGTTGAATATATCTACCCTATAAATTGGAAGACTTACTATACCAGTTATCACTTCTTAGAACATCAAACCAATGCAGACCTCTATTCATGAGGTCAGAAGAACAAATCAAAATATAAAAAAGATGCAAAGATTTCTAATATCCATCTAGCCAGCAGCCCCTCTAATTCTGTATTCTTTAGAAGTTTACTCGCCTCAGGTTGCTTATAATAAACCCAATGAGGGCAATAACCATGGTCTCTCCATAAACATACATTCATAAGTTATCGGATCAATTTACACTCTAAAAGTTAATGAATTATATTATCTTGCATAGATTTGTTCTGAATTTACATACATCTATGCTAAATGTGGGAGTTCTGTTTATCTTTTTTTTCTTTTTTTTTCTTTTTTTTGATTTTTTTTAAGATTTTGTATATCAAGGACATCTTGAAATGATTAGATTTGAAGGCTAATTGGACATTCAGAATTGCTTCTGCTGAGCAATGCTTAATATGTTACTTCATTTTTTTTTTTTAATTTAATTATTATTATTATTATTCCCCCTTCTTGTATTATGGAACAAATTATGTTGGAACATCTGCTTTACTGTCTAGGAGTTCATTAATTTTTCCTGTAAGTTTCTTACCCTTGCTGAAATTTAAACAATTCCCAAATTTCTGTTTCCCTGAATTTATTTATTTATTTATTTTTTCTATATCTTTGATTCTTGATTTTGATTCAACATTTTTTTTTTTGCTATACATGTATACTTAGATTGGGTAGCTAGAGTTATAACCTGGCTGAAAACCTCCAATTATTTTATTCAGCAGCTTCTTAACACTTTTTTTTTTTCCTACTATATTTTTTGTAAATCTTTATATAAGTTTTAATTACTGACCACAGCTGAACATACAAATGCTTTCATTGGCAGTCCTAGGATTTTCTCTCAAGAGTTTACAGTTTATTTCAAACTCAAACTATATAGTTTAAGTTTTTTCTTCTATTTGCAGTATAAAATATTTTATCACTGTAAAAAATCAAATCCAACAGCCAATAAGCTCTCCAGAAAGACTTAATGGTTGTTTTATCCATCTGCATTTTAAAAATGGTTGAGTTTCTCTGTTTCATTTACTACAAAATGTACCAATATATTTATAATACCAGTTTTATCCATAGTTGTTGAGAAATGGTAAGCTCATTTTTAGAGAGGAAACAAACTTTAGATCCTCAATATGAAATAAATATGAAATAAAATCAAGATTCTGATACCTTTAACTACACTTTGCCATCTCTTCCAGAGAAAGAACCTTGCAAGACACCTCAATCTTGACGTGTGGTAGAATTTTTTGAAGCACTATAGCTGACTCTCACTGGTGTCTGGTAAGGTCTTCACACTGAACTTGCCACCAGTAACAATTAATCTTTATCACTGTCCTATACCAAGAGAGACAGGCAATTCAGATAGCACAGAGGCTGAATAGCCCACTGCTGATACATGCCTGTTTTCATCAACTTTATGGGAGCCTAAGACACACAAGTTACTAATTTAATCTCTGCAGTTGAATGTTTGTTGAATGCAGCTAAAGTTTGGCAGCATAAACTCATATCATTGTTTTCCTTTGTGCAGGGTCATTACTGCAATACATTTCAGTGAAGAGCAAAAGGAAGGAGTGGGAGGCTGATGCTAAAGTGATTTATCCATCATCCGCAGATGTTTCACCAAGAATCACAGAAAGGTTAGCTAGAATAAGTGGAATTTTCTTTTTTTTTTTTTATCTCATCACAGAGGAAAAAAAAATTAAAAAAAAAAAAGTAAAATTCAGATATTCAAAGGAATATCAGAATTTAGAGTTCATCAATAACTACATAAATAGTCTTTCCAAAGCACCTAAGGATTCCACGTCTGAATCATAGTAGTATTCATTTCAAAAGTTTTCATCTGGGAAACTCACTACTGGACTTAATCCAGCAAATGACTTTATAATAGGATTATCATGTTTCAAGAACACACAAAAGAAGAAGCTTCCTTTTCCTTTTCACATAGTCATTTATTAGATATTTCCTCCAGTGATAGGGAATACAGGATCATTTAGTACCAAGAGAACACACTACTTCATGCTATGCTACAATTTAAGGCCTTTTCTCTGGTGAACCTTTTATTTGAGTGCCAAAAATTCCTGGACTACTTCACTAGAAGAGTATATCAAAAAGATAAACGTCCTAAGAATTTCTAAATTTCTAACTTTCCTAAGAATGTCCTAATAATTTCTAAAGTTACATAATGCCATCTCAAATTAATTCATTCTTCTGAATTCACTGGAGAATCCAATATAAAATCTGCATTAGTTAACCAGTACCAAGACCTGTCAGGTGTTAGTACAAAAGTTTTTGTTGTTATTTTATTTTACTTCATTTCTCATTTGCTGTTTTTAAAGTATCCAAAAAGCCACAAACTATAGCATTTGTTTTCAATAAGGAATATGTTTAACTGTTTACCAGCTCATGGCTACTTTAGCTATACTTGCTTGCATAAGAGATAAGAAAGAATAAAATTGCTCAGAGTCACTCTGTAAATAATACATCAGAACGATACCACTCGTCTGAGAGTTGCAAATCTCTTAGTCTCAATCTTCTCTTCTTCATATTAAGTTCACACTCATAAAGTGTTGATTATTAAACATACTTTCAGATTTATCATGAACAAATATTTTCCTTTTCTTCCATCTTTTGCCACCTTGGCTCAGTTTCCAGAATCAGCAATACAAAAATCAATAGATAATATATTTATTTGCTAGAAAAAGCAGTGTTAGCAGCAGCAGAACCATAACAACATCGTTCTGTCTGTCTTAGGCTACCAAACATGCACACTTACTACTAAGGACAGGGAACAGCCCTGGATTCCACCAGTCTGCTCTGCTACCGTCCACAGTATATATGTCAACACATAAAGCACATTCTGTGTTATCAACAGACACATATATATGCATGCATGTATCCCGACTTGCTTTCTGCCACTGCACTGACTGACTGCTTATTAGATCAGTGGACCTTCCAGATTCTTTTGCAATATTTTATGATAATAAGTCTTTGTATATATATTAAAACAACAACCACTACAAAGCTGCCAAATGGGATTTTTTTTTTTTTTTGGATGAATTTTCTGGACTTATTAGATGTATTTGATGACTGGAGCCTACATATCTTAAGATCTTACATTTCTCAGCCCAGATTTCTAAATGTCTATATTGTTCAGACTGGATATGTGCAGAAATACCGAAGTCTTGAGAGCACCAAGCTGTCTTGTTCCTCTGTCCTACGAGTCTAATCATGATACCACAAAAATATACTTCCTCCACAGGCCTCAAATCAGCATCCTTGTCCATACTGCACAGCCAAGACAGATTGCACTTTTCCTTTTATACTTGTATAACAGGTGAGTAATTTACAAGAGACCCAATTCAGTCTCTCCCTGTCCTGACTTGCAAAAAAACCAGCAGTGGCCCATTTCCTGTAAAAAAACTGTAAGCAGTGTGTGTGGACTATATAGTCTATCTCTCATGTCTTCCTCTTTGTAGTCCAGTTCATATTTAAAAAGATTCAAGCCTAGAAAGACAGAAGGGGACTTGAAATCAACTCCAGTTTGAACAGATCATGAGTCTCTTCTTGACTTTCTCAATACACAATCTTGATTATGCCTGTGGTGCTTTTATTTATTTATTTATCTCAACCATTTCATTTATGCCATGGAACTACCTAGATTAAATCTAGTTTCAATCTTGATGTTATTTAACCATTTTACTACAGAATGAATACAAAATGAAAGCCTGACATTGTTTTATTATAATTTAGCTACGCAGCCTTTAGATCAAAGCTGTCTTGCAGATGTATGCTGCAAGGTATGAATGGGACAAAGTGAGTGTACTTGCAAAAGATCATGAAGATGAAGTTTATGGATGGTTAATTCCAACAAAATTTTACCTTTGTAGAGAAGGTCCTTTCTCATCCTTACCTTTTGAACATCACACAAAGAAGGCTGTTCTCATATTGTGTCTTTAACGTTGCCTCACTGGGAAAAAGTTATATTCTGAGTAGATCTACTCTTCTGGTCAAACACTGAATATTCCTGTCATAGGGGATATGACAAGACAAGGATATATCCTTGGGGATGAAGCAGCAGCAGGAAGGTGATGTAATTACAATGCTGGAATGAGATTTGTGAATCTGCTTAATCAGAAACCTCACTTGCAACCTTGGAAAAATCTCACTCCTATATTTATTTTAAATTTTTTCTTCATAAATCTATGAAAAACTACTATTTTTTTTTTCTCCCATTACCATTCCACTTGACATATGCTTGTTTTACAGAAACATATTTTACCTGTATTAAGAGACTAAGCCTTTTAGAGTCCTGGGTGCACATTAAGTGCCATAGGTAAAAAGAAAGAGGACATCCCTGTGTGAAGAACAAATAGATTTGGAACAACAGGTGAACTGCTTTGTGAGCACTTCCGAAGTTACATTTTTATTAATATCTATCATCTCGGTTGACAGGATAATTCATCATAATTAGAAATATAACCTAGGTTAGTGAGGCTTTTTCTGCCACAGAGTTGTGAAATTAATTTTTAGATGGCCTTTGTATGTACAACAGTTTTCAATGCTTATGAGAGAAAGTGTCCCCATGAACACGAACACTGATTATGACACCTTTTTTTTTTCTTTTTCTTTTTTTTTTTCCTGACTAAAACCAGAAAATTGACCAAATAAACTACAGGTCAGATTCTCAGCTGTATAACTTTGAAAATGTCAACAGTAATTGACTGTCATAAATGGTCACATAAATATGCATATTTCATGGAACCATGTGTTTTCTCTAGAAATTTTAGTACATACTTTTGACACTAGCCAATAGGTAAAAGGAATTTATTACCAGAGTAAGTTTTATAAAATAAAAATGTCTGTATGTGCATAGGTTTTATCTGTTACTGGCTTTACATCTAAGACAATGTTATAAAAGCATACCATTGTCACCGAGTGTTTTCTGAGCTCCAGAACTGAGACTGCAGCAACTACAGATGTTCTATTCATCTCACACTCTCTTTATAATTAATGTAGAGAAATAGACATTTTTAAGGTGTAATTCATCTGGCTTGTTTAAAACAACCACTTTAGGATGTGATGAATCACACTTTAGACTACATTGACAGTACTAATGAAAATTCCTTAACTTTAAAGGACGTCTATGGTGACTGACTCAGACAATTTTAGCCCAGATAGCTTAATATGGTGGAATCATTATGGCTTCCATTCTTAATTTTGTGAATACGTGTTTTCTACTTTGCGATAATTATGTTTTTTGAGAATTAAATTTCACTTAATAGATTAATTCACTTTGCCAGGGCCTGGGAAAGTTGACTACTCAGAAAATGGTAGATATATATTTGAGCACCAGCATAACTTTTTAAAGCAGATGACTAAGGCATATACCTTTGGTAATATTAGTTTTAATTTTTCTGTGTGTCAGCTGTTCCATATGTTAAATACAAATTATAATATTAATCTTATTATGATCTGGTTTGCATTTATTCATTCAGTTTTATAAAGTGCTTGATAAACTCAAAAGGATAGAGATGCCAAATATTATTAGATATAAAGAGGAATAACACAGCTAAGTGAAATTCATGTGTTCCTGTCACTTATTATGTTTTCACTTCAATTTGAATTTTTAACCCTATTCATCTCTTCTTTCTAAATATGATCTTAAACTGTCCACCACCATGCCTTGAACATCCTGAATTTTTACATTAGTACATTTGTGATTCAGAGCATATCCTACAACACCCTTTCCCACTCTGTATTGAATGTGCCTTCAATATGCTATTGAAGATTCAGCATCTCAAGCTATCATCATATTAATTTTAAGACACTTTTTTTTTTTTTTATCAACAGATGAACAATCATGATGATTAAAAATGTTTCTCCTCTCATGGGCTTGTACAGTATTTTACATTCTCTGGCATGTTGATTACTTATGTTGATTGAAAATGAGTGAAAAACAGAGAGAACTTATTAGCCAGTTTAGTTAGCTGCTACTTACATTAATGAAAATGTCTGGATACATGCCCATTAAGAATAGTTGGGAGATCAGAGGTAGAAAAGTGATTCCTTTGCTTCTCGCTGCTGACAATTTGGAAAGCAGCATTCCCACAAATGGCTGCTGAAGCATGCACAGCCTCCACAAGGAAATGTCGCTGCACAGGAGCCCAATCCAAACCAGAGCACCCCTGGGAGCAGGGGAGTCACACTCCACCAGTGTTTGTATTCCCCTTCCTCCACTTCCCTCCTCAAGCTGATGGCTGGCAGCACAGGTGCTTTGGCAGCAGTGGTATTTATCAGTGAGAGCAGCTAGCAGCAGCTCCATTACTGCCGCTACTAACAACATGCCAGTCTTTCATTACCAGGGTGGTACTGATAGAAATACGTAAAAGCATATAGTTGGTCTTCTGAAGGACAGCTTTGTTTTTTCTTCACTAATTGTTTATTTAAATGGCTACCTCAGAGAGGCTTTAAAGCTGTAAAATAGAATTTCTTATATATGTTATATATAAAAATTTTATATATATATATATATATATATATCCAGCTGATAGAAGGGAGCTTCATGCTGAACACAAAATCCATTCTCTCAGCTTTGTATAGCTAGTAAAATGCACTGATTGTCCATGGTGGTGAGCAGGGGGGATAAAGGAGGGCAAGTGAAATGTTACTATGATTCCTATTTCATGATTGGAATTGCAAGGGTAAAAGCAATAAAGTGATTTGCCTAAGGTGATGCAGAAAATGCCAGGAACTGAATCCAGACCTCCTGAGTCACAGCCCAATGCCTTAATCAGCTGACCATGTTTCCAAGCATTTGGCTTTACAAAATCAGTTGGCCTGATTTACTGGCAAAGTCTTATGATAGTGATTTTTCCCACTACAAAAAGTCAGTGACCTACAAAAAAAAAAAAAGTATGTAGAAACATATCATACTGGAGAAAATACTGCAAAATAAAAATAATAATAATTAAAAAAAAATAAAATAAAAATGGCAAAAACAGGAAAAAAATGGAAAAACAAACAAACAAACAAAAAACAGGATATTAATAGAAACCAGGCTTACTGGTAGTGCAGGATCCGTTTCAGCAACACTGCAAGAGTCAGGTGGCTACAATTTGTCATAAGGAACTGTGCATTACAATGAAAGACAGGGATCTGATCACAGAGAAAACATCTGCTACTTGTCAGCTGTCACTTAGACAATGGGAAAGGTCTAAGAAAGAGTTTGGAGTACTTTGCTTGTTATTCTTAGGCTGCTGCAGAACCACTTTCTTTTTCAAAATACTTAGCTCTATTTGAGCAAAGAAACTAGATTTCATCCTTACTTTGCTTGAATTCTGTTGAGTGGACTTCAAGCAGAAATCTGCCAGAGTAAGAGCACAATGCCATTAATTACAGTAGTTAATATTCAGAATTGGTGAGAATAGAATTTTAAAGCTATCTATTAGAATTTTACTTATGTTTTCAATCAGACTGCTCCTACTCCATGCTATACATTTATAATTGTTGTTGCTGTTGTTGTTGTTATTATTATTATTATTATTATTATTGTTATTCCAGCCATTCACTTTTTGAATTATTCATGAAAATATATAGGTAGAATAAAATATGTTATTATTTTGCTGATATGAACTTTGGATAATGGGCACAATAACATTACCTATTTCTGACAGTTTTGACTTAATGCAGTTAATGTGCTGGGTTACTGGAAAAGTCAGTGCATATGTGTAGTTAAACACAGAACTGATGAATTAGCCCTGGAAAATTCAAATAGTTTTTGCATTTTACACAGTTGTCCCAGTATCAAAATTGATATTTTATGCTATGTGATGCCTAAGATGAGGACAGATTTATTACTAGGCAGTTTTCCATTACAACCTAGGTCCAAGTCATGTGTTGGAAAATCAGAGGTCCAACAATCACACCAAAGAGAGAGTGCTACCAAAGAGAGAGTGCTGGATAAACTTTTTTTCCAAAGCTTTTTGCAATCCTATCTCCACTTCTATTTATTTATTTATTTATTTATTTTATTTTGTCTCTTACAAATAGCAGTTGTGATCTCATCTCCAGAAGACAGGTCATGCCTGGAGAGCAATCTCACATTACATGTACCACTGTTATATACTACAGATGCATTGCAGATTTAATTCTTAAATGTAATTTCTTCAGCAGATGAAAACATTTTATTGTGCACCTTTTGGGATACCTACATCTGTTATTCTTCAGTTTCAAGGCAGATTCATGGAAAGTTGTTAGCACACAGAAAAAAATGATCAACAACAACAAAGAGCCCTTCTTTTTATTGGTATTCTGTTGAGACATCATAAGCATACTAAAAGCAGCATATGTCAACAAGTCTGCAACGCGTGCATTTAATTGTCTCCCAGTTTAACCCACAAATTGTATTTACTGCTACTAAAACATCTATTATGGGAAGTGTTTCATTTTGTAAGAGCGGCGTCCATGTTTTTTGGGCAAGCTCCTTCTTCTGAGATGCTGCTAAAATCTGCAGTGAGGGAGACTATAAAACTATACAACATCAACCCAGAAAACAGTAATGAAGAAAATAATTATCTCCTCAGTTGTGGCTAAGGTGGCTGTTAGATACTGATCCTGTAGAAGAAGGAAGATTTATCTGGCAGGTACTATCAGACCAGATGATTAGCAGTACATCTCCCTATGTTTTCAAGTGAGCTTGCACATATAGAAACTTTTATGTATATAGTTCCCTAAAATCATGTGGAAATACTTCATCTACCTGTTGCTGATTAAAGGAAAACTCACAGGATTTTCAGTTTATTACAATAATAATAAAAATAACAATAATAACAATAACAATAATAACAATAATAGAGTTCTGAGAGTGTTTTGTGATTTAAATATATAAACATATGTCTAAACCAAATTTAGAAAGACCTTTGGGTAGTTTTGACCATGCCTAATATGATAAGGGGGAGGGGAATTACAACATGCTTTATTTCAGCAATAGCTGAATGCAATGGCTATCTCATTTGATTTTGAATGATTAAAAGCCCAGAAGAATAAAACATTATGCAATAGAGTATAAAGCAAGCTGGAAGTATTTTGAGTAATAAGAATTTCAGATCCATCTGTGATAGAGGAGAATGGAATAATAACTTGATGTTATCTGCCTGCATCAAAACGGGATTTTCTGTGAGTTTAGAAAAAGAAGGGAAAAAGAAACAGGAAAAACATTATACTGGTATTGTCTTGTACTGCATGGTAGCATGTAAGAAAATAAAAAAGAGAAATGGGCCAAAAGTCATATTCATGTAATTCTGAATTAACAGACGGTAGATCAAATTTACACCTAAAGAATATCCTTCTCTGATAACAAGAAAAAAAAAAAAGTGCATTGTGAATTAGCATGAATATTAAGCATGGCAAGATAAAAACACATCTCATTTTTGAGCACAAAAATATCATTGTCTAATTTCCTCTCATATGTGTCATAAAAGTACCTTTTATTCAGTTTTTTGAACGAAAAATGAATCCCATTACACTTCTCAGTAGTATAGTTATGCAATTCAATGGGGGATAAAATGTCATGATTTAATAAATAGGATAAAGATTAGTAAAATAATCTAATCACTGGTCTCTCTTATTTTCAGTCATCACTGAAGAAGGAAAAGAGCAGGAGAGGAGGATTAATTTGAGGCTTTATGCCAATATAGGTCAGTAGCCCACAGCTTTCCTCTTTTTTGTAAGTGCTTCAGTGCTTCAGTACAGAGAAGATCATTGAGAATGAGCGTGATTACAAGCGTAACCCACACTTCCCTGAGCAAGCAGCAGTGGCAGCCCATTTCACCTTGCAGGTGGAACCTGGGCATGGTGAGCTCTGCTCTGCTCCCAAGAAAGAATACGGGATGCTTCTGCAGTGTTTGTGGGTACAGTCCTGAGTTTGGCCTTGGAGGCTCTGCCTGGACTTAGCCATACGTAGACATCTTTAAGGTTACCCAGCCAGTGCCTTTGAAAACCTCATGATACATTTGATCCTATGGGATCTGGCTGGACTGTCGTTACTGTTCCATATTCCTTCCAAGCAGTGTCACACAGCCCTGGTTGGATAGAAAAGTACACTAAACTTGGATTGATTTCAGGCTTAAAGTCTCAGATATTTCGTTGGTTTCTGGATTCCTTAATTTGTGTCCCCCATTAGAGCTACAGCACTCCCATCTCCTTGAAGGCCCACAAGCTAGTAAGTACAAGATATGTTAAGCAGGGCTGTGTAAGGCTCTGTCTCACTGTATATTTCTTAAGAGGAACATGTTGTCTGAACGCCTACACCACTATTCCAGGCACTAGGCATGTTGAGTTAATTAGAAGCATTTGATGTTACCCAAGTGAGTCAGGGATTTCAGCAGCCACATATGATACCTTCTGCTCTCACATAGTAGAGAGACAGCCTCAGCCTGAACCTGATTTCTCAGGAGTTTTGACCTCCCTTGTGCTACACCTGTCTTCCACCAACATATCCACATGGAGAATCATATATAAATCATATATAATCTGCTGTGGTGCTCTCATGTGAACTGCCATTTGCAGGTGGCATTTTTCCTGTCTAAAATAGATGTCTGTAGTCATTTTGTTTTTATTGCTGTTGTTTGCTTTTCCTTCTTCTCATTTGAGGTTTCAATCAGTTATTCACTCTACAACCTTAAGTTGCCATCAAGTCTCAAAGTCACTGCACAGTCCAGATATACATTTTCAGATCTATCATGCTACCTATTTAGCCCCTGGCTTAAAGATTAAAGGCTTCTTCTGGGTTCACTTCAGTTTTTACAATGTAATTGTCCAACACGTTAATGTTTTGTCTCTGTCACTGTGTCAGGGATGACAGGGATTTACAAGGCCAGAGTGCTGAGTCATAAAAGACACCTGGCAGCACATCAGATAGCAAATCCAGCTCTTAGGAGAAAAACTAAACTGGACACAGAAAAACAATTCAAGATTCAAAATTCTAGAAAAAGTATTTGTGATTACAAATTCCCTAAAGTTAGGGTAAAGATTATTTACTTCTGAACCAAGTGCTGACACTTGGAAGTGCTGGCAGAGTTTTGGGGGAAAAATTTCAGCAAGGGGTCAGAAAAGCTGAAAAATTATTACTCATACATGTTGTTATTCCTTAACGTTCATCAAAATCAGAAGCAGGCATGTGTAAAGCAAGCCACTTTTTTTTTTTTTTTTTTTTTTCCTGTTTAATCTGCCATACTTATAAGTCATTTACTGAATAAAGGCTTCTGAATGAAACAATGGTGATGTTTAATATAACAGCATTGTAATGCTTGGGCAGAATCTATGGTCCTGTGAGGTACCTGAACAAGG